CAGGGAGACGGCCTGCGGCCAAAAGGGACTGGAGCGGAGCTAGACTGTTCTGTTCTGTTGCCAATTTTTATAGCTGTTGTTGTTTTTTCTGCCTTGTTGGATATCAGTAAAGAACTGTTGCCCTTATCCCCACATCTTCTGTCTGAAGGCTTCTGATTTGGACCTAAAATAATTAAAAGGGAGGGAGTTGCATTCCACATCTCAGGAAGGGGCTCTTGCCTTTCCTTAGACCATACCTGTCTTTCAAACCAAGACAGGCAGTTAGGCGATTGAGAACTGGCTGATCCCAGGTGATCATGATCAGTGGAACAGGGTGTGGTTGGAAGGCTTCTGCACCTGTTGTAGCACACCGCTGTCCCTGAGGCCCAGTATTTAATATATTCATATTAATATCATATTAGATGAAGAGGTTTGTGCCTCCATAGCAGGTTCAATGCTGACACAGAGCTGGGAGGAGTGGCTGATCCCCCCAAGGGCTGTGCAGCCTTTCAGAAGTGCCTTGACAGCTTGGAGAGATGGGCACAGAACTGTCTGAAACTCAACAATGGAAATGCAGGTCCTGCACCTGGGCAGGAACAACTCCAGGCACCAGCTCAGGCTGGGGAGGACCTACTGGTGAAGCTGTGTGGGGAAGGATCTGGTGAGCACTGAGCTGTCCCTAAGCCAGTAGAGTGTCCTGGGGCCAAGTAGGCCAATGGGATCCTAGGGGACATCTGGAAGAGCATTGCCAGCAGGTCAGGGAGGGATCCTACCCCTCTGCTCTGTTGTGGTGTGTTTCGTGCTAACGGTATGTTCTGTTATTGCCCAAGCTAATGGTTTAGTCCAAAATTATACCCTCCCACCCACCTTGTCAATCTATCCTAAACTACCTGTCAATCCCTCTTTGTGCCAGCCCCCTGTTTGGAATTCCTCTTTGGAAATCCCCTAAAACTTGATGTCTCATTCATCCATGTGACCCAGTTTTCCCCTCTACCTCTCTCACTGGACAGTGCCTTTGTAAATCCTACCCTTTATCCTTCCTCAGAATTTCTCCAATTTGCTAAGAATTTGTATCTTCTTCTTGAACCTCCCACATATTTAAGTTGTTGCACCTTCACCATTTTTGTCTTTTGCCCCATGAATTCCCCAGAGTAATAGATCCTTTTTAACCTATGCAAAATGCAAAAGACCTCCCCCTCCTCTTTGCCTCCTTCAAACGCAATCTGACAGCCAAAAGGCCATGGAGCCATAGCTTGAGCCACATCTAAGGCCTCCTGTTCCTGGAGTGTGACCCACTCTAGGCATGGGACCACAGTGGCAAAGTGAGTGCAGTTCTGGCCGTTGCATCACTGACCAGCCCTAGAGGCACCTCTGGAGTGCTATATCCAGCTCTGGATCCTCAGCATAGCAGGGACAGGGAGCTCCTGGAGTGGAACCAGTGTAGCTGTGGAAAGGGGTTTTAACCCCTTAGGTGTGGCAGAAATAAGATATACAGCTACATGGTCATCTTTCATGACAGGAAAGAGACAAGTTTATTCCGAAACACAGTTGGTTTTATAGCATGACTCACAATTCCAAGAGTAGAAAAAAGATGAGTGGTTCAGAGAGAAGACACCCCATTCCCAGGGCCTGGTCATGTACCACAACAGGTGCTCTATCTTTGTTATTAATTCCTTTTTATTTTGACCAAGATATCACCCTAGGAGAAATTCTCCCTAGCCTACAGCTGGACCAGATTATTGGCTGGGAACAGAGCTGAGAAGCTCCTGCCTGGAATATTTTTCAGGCTGTAATTTTCTTGCTTTCTCAATATGTGTCCCTACAGGCCAGCAGAGGCTGCAATGCTGCGGAAGGGCCTGGAGCATCTCGGTGCCCAGGAAAGGCTGAGAGAGCTGGGGCTGTTCAGCCTGGAGAGGAGCCCCAGCTGAAAGGGACCCTCAGCCCTGGGTGTCCCTGTGTGCAGGGAGGGCTCCGAGCAGGGCCCAGGCTCTGCTCCAGGGGCCCAGCAATGGCACCAGAGGAACACACAGGAACTGATGCCCAGGAAGTTCCACCTGAACATGAGGAAGAACTTTTTTCTTGTGCAGTGCTCAAGCCCTGAACAGATTGTCCAGAAAGGGTTTGGAGTCTCCCTCACTGGGGATACTCCAGAGCTGTCTGAACACAATCCTGTGCCATGTGCTCTGGGATGATGCTGCTGGAGCAAAGAGGTGACACTGTGGGCTCTTCCACCCTGAGCCAATCAGGGATTCTGTGACACACTGCTTATTAAAAAGGTAAGGAAAAACGGTAAGCAGTCTCCCGAGAAAAAGTAGTACTTGCTGTTGTAAATAAATTTACAAGTTAACCAAGTTCCACCAAAAAGTTATTGTTTGTTAGTTGATAAATTGTTAATTGAGTTAATGTTGTTAATTTAAGTACCCCAGTTCAGCTGTAATGTTAGTTCCCCTGTTCCCCGATCCCTTGGTTGTGTACCTCCCTTTTGTCCATTGGGTATTGCTGCTGCTGTTCCGGCATGGCACCAGAGAAGGTGACATCATAGGACTTCTATGCAAAGTGCGGAACTAAGGAATTATGGGTACCATTCGGGTAAATAAATCCCCTATAAAACGAGCCAGCTGAAGTTCCAACGAGCTAAGATGGTTTATCTGTGTCGGGAACTGTTTCCTGGAACTGCACACACACGACACCCAGGATCCTCACCATGATAACAACAGTGCCCGGTCGGAAATGGGACCCTAGACAATGAGCCAAAGATTGTCTTCCTAGGGGACTCTTGTGAGGATGGAAGCCCCAGCTCTGCCTTTCGTGGACAAAGCTGCACTGAACTTCCTCCTTGATGTCGTCATCTGGGAGCAGCAGTGGCAGTGTGTGCGCACCCCAGGAGTACCCCCCACAAAAGAGTTGATTCCTAATAAAGGCCTTTCAAAGGGAGCTGGTCTCCTGGCCCATTTACTTCACTTGCTATTTTTGAATAATGTTTAAATTTATTGTGCATTTTTACTTTCCCTCATGGTAGCTAGCCATTGCTTGAAAACATTAATGTTCTCTAAGTAATGTACATAGTGATTGACAGTAAAATAGAGGTTTTGGCTGGTGTTTGAAATGATGTGGAACTGTGTTACTGGTGTATTGGCAGTCATCAATCTTGGTATGCAAAGTGATTTGTTCCAAGTGGAGCTGTGGCACAGAGCTCTTTGTTAGTTAACACATGTGAGCCTTGAAGTTGATGCTCTTACACGAGAAGAGTGACAGGGAGACTTGCATATATCCAAATTGTCAGTGGAAGCTTGGCAAGTGCCAAATATTGGAAATATATGAAGTGTAGGACTTTGGGGGTTTTGGATTTTTTCCCTTCCACATGCAGTCTTGAAAACTCTGATTTCTACATTGTGTCATTGAAAGACTGGCTTAATTGCCTACAAAAGATGCATAATAGGGACAAAGCCCTTGTATTTGATTTAGAAATATGTTTATTGTGCATTATAATGCCATCTTTAATCGTGGCTTCATTGTTAAATTGTTAAATGTATTATTGTTAAACAATACCTTGGCAGTATAAGGTTCAAACTGTTACATTGGTGTATTTTTTTTCTTTGCATTCTACTATTCAGCTGTACCTGTGTTACAAATCCTTCATCTTTTGCTTTGAATGGGGCTTGTTAAGAGGATACCTTTGGGTAAATATTTAGGGTAATAGATTTTGACCACTTCTGTGAAGGACCAAATTGTCAGCTTTGTTGTGGAGTGGCAGATTTAGACATGGATTTAGGGACCTTCTGAGAAAATGCTGCTTCACTCTACTTCAACACTTTTGTTGCGGTTTGTTGTTGTTTTCTTCTGTCCCTGTTTTCCCCTTTGTTACAATGGTTTTTCCCTATGTTGAAAACCCCTATGAGTTGGTCTGCTCCAGGTCTCCCTTTCCCGCCTTTGTCCCTGTCAGTTACCTAAACCCCTCCCCTTTTTCCAGACCCTTCCCTGCCAGTCGCCCTAGCCCCTACCCTCCCAGTTATCAGTCTTCCTTGGCCACGTCCCTAGTTCGAGAAAGTTCCCTGTCTATTAAAGGTTTCCAGTGGTTGGATTGAATGTTGTAAACTGTACCCACTCTTCTTTCCCCTGGATTGGTTCCTTGTATCTTGCATCCCTCCCTCTGTACCACCCCTGAATTCCCCTTATTGGTCCTTGCATTGTACCCTCTCCGCAGGAGCATCCCCTATTTAAGTTGCTGACAGACCCCTTTTCGGGGCCTTTTGTGGTTTCCTCCCCTTGCTTCCAGTTCCTCCCTTTCCCCAATAAACCTTTTATGGACCCACAAAAGATCTCCTCCTCGATCCTTTGCCTTTCCCCGGACTCGTGAGTTTAGCCAGAAGGGCTCTCAGCCCTAGATGTACTCCTGATTCCTGGAGTCTGGGAGACAGCCCACTCTTGGTGTTGGCACAGCCTGCAGGGCTAGCTGGGTGTACCAGACTCGAGTGGAGCAGGCTGCCGTGTCACACTTCAGTTTTTCTATGGAAATAGCCAGGCTGGGAAATCACCTTTTGTTCCATTGCCTGTCTCTGCGATGCATGTGCCCCCTGGTTTCTGTCCTCCTTTGGCTCAGTGCTGGTGGTCTACACTAGACCTCAGCACTGCACTGTGTCTTTCACCAGCTATTTTTGAAAAGGTTTGAACAAGATCAGCTCTTCTTTCTTCATGCTGTTGCTGCTTTGTCTCTTGAAGCATTGCAGCATACATTTACAGCCTTACTCTGTGGGGCCTTTGTTCTCTGTTAGGGGTTGGGAATGTGCCCATTGGCATGCAGCCAGCCAAGTGCTGCTGCTTGCTCAGGTGCCTTTTGCTGGTCACTGATGACAAATTTGTGCCACAACATGGAGGTTATAGAGAAGCTATAATGAGGAGGAGAGCAAGGAGGAGCAGCCCTTGCTCTCCCTGTATATTTAATAGCTTTTGGAATTGCATCACTCTTCTGACTTTCCAGGCACGCCAGGGTACCCCCTCTCTGTTCTGCTTCTCTTGTTCTCTCTAAGTATTAACATGAAGTATTCACTAGGAAGTAATAAAACCCTATGACTTCTGCTGAAAACATGAATTGATGTTTCTTATCTCTATCTGTTAAGCCCCCTCCACTGTGTCTTTAAAGTCCATCTCCCATTTTGTCACAAAATTAAATCTCCAAAATAATCTTTTAAAAGCTCCGGCATAGTGTCCCCATCTCATTATGTTTGTTGGTCAGCTCCTCGGACTTTTAAAGCTTTTAGCTGAGGTTGGGCTTGTGATGAGTCTAGTGTTGTCTGCCATCTGCCAGTGATTAAATGCAAAGCTTCTGCGGTGCAGTCAGCTAAAAAAGCCTCTGCCTTTTCCTAATACTTGGACCCTGAAGACACCCGTGCTGACTTAAACACTGCAATCAAGTCAGCAGTCAGCCAAAAAAAAAAAGAAAGTTAGAGTGTCTTACTCCTGTGTCATGAAGAACCTGCTTCTTTCATTTTCTTCTGCTGCTGCCCTACTGCCTCCTCCACTTCTTCAGCCAAATGTTTAATTTATTTCCAAGCAAGGTGGAAAGTGCAGTGGTAAAAAAAAAAAAAGGATTGTGAAATAAAGACATAACAGTGTAAATGCTTTCAAGAGGTTTGTTGTGAGGACTTCCACAAGTACTGATTTGGGTACACAGGTAGGCCACTTGAGGCAGTCGTGTTAAATGAAGTGGAAAAGAGGAGCTTAGTCCAATTATTGCTCTTAATTGCTGTGAAACTGATAAAAGGTTTTGATAATTTGAGTTTTTAAAGCCCAATCCCTTTGCTCTCCAAGCAAGATGGATAGAGATGGGTTTCTCCTGTTCCTGAGAGACGGTTCAACTAATGTCAGCCCATGCCCTTCTCTAGTACATAGGAGCACAGTGGGACAAAAGTGGTGGTAGGGAGAGGAGTAAGAGCATCGACTCCTGCCAGCTGTGAAGGGAGCTGGTATCCTGCGGGAATGACTATCCAGTAGTCAGTTTAAGAATCCAAATAAAACTTATAAAATAATTAATTTGGTACATCAACCTTTTTTCCTTCATTCTAAGAGAAAAACCCCAATATATGAAATGACATACTTGCATGTCATGGTAGCAAAATGAGAGTCTCAAGCAGGCTGCAGAAATCTGTGTAGTACATCCACTCATACATCAAGGAAGCCTAAGGAAATCAGCAGTCATCACCTGGGAGTAGGAAGTACTTACATCCTAATTTTGGGCTGACTTCAGTAAAGACCCTTGATTTTGAAATAAATACTTAACTTTGTTTCTAAATATTGTTCTCTTAATTTAACATTTTACCTATGGCAGTAAAGTTGAGCAGATCTACAGGTTTGTGGCACTTTCGGGCCTTGTTTGAACTGCTGCCTCTCCAGAAATCATATAAATGGTAACGTGAGGTGCATTTCAATCAGCCTCTGTGAGTAGGGCTTCTTGGCTTTCCCTGGGACTAGGAGTGTCTTGAAAAGTTTCTGTCTACCTTATGTTTTTTCTATCTTACAGATTACTTTTTTCCTAAGAACCCAAAACATCCTTTTGATTTGAGGATGGAAAAAGGTTTAAGTTTCATTCTGTCATCTCTAGGTAATATGAATTTCTGAAAGCTGTGCTCACCAAAATTGAGGTCAGCTCAGTTAAATCCTAATTAATTGAAATGTCGAAGGATGCCCAGCTTTATGCAGTGGTCAAAATTGTTTTTCACCTTGATGAGTCACATATCATCAACAGCAGATGGCAAAGCATGAAACTTCAGTAAAGTACATTAATGCCCTTGTAAAAACATTAGACGGCTTTTAGGCCTAAGAAGTTTGCACAATGTTGTTCTAGATAATAACAGTGGTGTAGGGGTTAACAGCCACCTGAAATACTACCTCTACATTAGTTTTTTAAATCTACTTTTTGATTTTTATCCCCTGGAAGGTTTTTATTCTGTAAGTGTTTGAGTGTTACAGTGTCTTCATCTTGCAGCTGGAATTAAGAAGAGTCCCTGTGGAGGAATGCTTTGTGAAGATCAGGCTCTAAGTCTTTACTACTGTAGCCAGGATCTGAGATATGGGATTTTTATATGCTCTGAGGATACAAATTCAGACTGTTCCAATATGGTTCATGCAAAGAGACTAAAATAAATTTTACTCTTATGCTGAACAATATGCTAGCTTTCTTCCTGGTAAAAATGGATATTCTCTTGCTGGGCCAATATACAAATTTGGTACAAAATAAATGAATGTTCTGAATCTATTACTGCAACCAACTGTCAGCTTAATGCAATAAGAAATCATGATGCCTGATTCACATATGCATTACTTATTTGTCCTGGTAGAATGTTTTAACACTAATAATGTAAAGAAAAAAATTATTTAATTTTTGCTCTTCACTCCTGCTTTTCTTAAATGTAAGACATCTTCCTCCCAAGATTCACATAGTGTCTTAGGGAGACTTTATGATACTGTATCCCCTATCATCTGCTTTATGCCCAGACATAGGTCCTGTAACTTTAGGTAGGTCCAGGAGACAAGGGGGGAGGGGCGGGGGAAGCCGGGGGAATTCTTTTGGCTGTCTGTGTTCAAACACAGGTACTCCTCTGGTTTTTCCCAGCTCTTGGCTCTGCATGTGCAACAGTATATGGAAGTTGCATTCTGTGCTTTTAGCTATCTTCTTTTTTGTTAGCTGAGGCAAGAAGTTTTCCCGGAATTGTGGCTTCTTCTTCTAGAACTGTTCAGCTTTGCGCCGGTCTGAAACACCAGACCATCGCTGGGAGCCCCGCGCCAGGGCCCGGAGGGGAGGTCCCAGGGGCACTATATTCCGGCTCCAGATTCTGGAAGAAGCCGAGCAGGACTCTAAAATCCATCAGCTTTCTCTGCAGCAGGAAGGTTAATATCTAAGTTTATTAACTCTTTTCCCCGTGCCTGCGAGCACTCTGCTTGTTAAACAGCTTTTTTCACTTCCCTCCAAGAAATTCCTTTTGAACCAGTGGGGGAGTGACTGCCGAAACCTGCCTTTTTTCCAGAGGAGATGTTACTTTAGGGATGTTTCCTCCTAACTTGTCTCAAACAGAGACATGTGGCAGTGTAACATACAACCAATTTAATTTTTATTGTGCTTTCTAATTAGGATAGTGGGATGCCTTGGTGAGCCAGCCTGGTGGTGTCCCTCTGCTCTCTTACAGCACAGCAGCTTGTGCCAGGTGACTCAGCAGGCCCAGCATCTCCAGATGCTCCTGTTTGTAGTTCAACAACCCAAGAATTAATGTCTCTGTGGCAGCTACTAAGAATGCTCATGCTTTTCATCAAGTCTGCCTTCAATTCCCGGAAACGGGGGAGGTCACCAGTCTCTGGTGGCTCAGGGCATATCAAAACATGGAAGGAGAGGAGCTGAACTTGAGCACTTGGGTTAATTTTTTCATTTGCATGTCCCTATATGTTTTATTCAGTGGAATCTGCTATTGGTACCTAAAGACAGCTTTTTTCCCTTAAAAATCCCCCACAATGCAACACCCTGCATATTACCAATACTGACATTTTGTTGTTGTTGTTGTTGTTTTCTGGCTGTCAGCTTTGCAGAAATTATACGGTTTTTAGTAGTCTTGGTGACATCAGAAATGTGCCTTCATCCCAACATATATAGTACATGTTCTTCCTTCAGTCTTCTGGTGTGTTGCAGTAAAGAAATGACAATATAGTTCTTTATATGTTGTATATCCTTTTTTCTTTCTTCTTATCTTGATTTTCCTTTCTTGTCTACAGAATGCTACTTTTACCAGAGCACTTTAACATATTTTCAGCCTATACATGTTCAATTCTGAGAGAAGATGCTGTTGTATTTCCACATTTTTACTGCTTGTAGTTTTTCTCTCTTTCTAGGATTCATTAGCTTTCACTCTCTGAAATCTTGTAAGTTGAAGAGAAACAAGGTCACCTGAATACACTGGTAAATTTTATTTATAAATTCAGAATGTGAATGGGTGCAGATTTAGATACTGAAAGGTCATTGTCAAAATGTACAGTATACACTTAGCTAGGGTATTAGCTTTTTTTTTTCCCTTGTCAATGTGATGCTGGGGCTACCTTTTATTTCTGTGTTAAGATGTGATTGCCTTAGAGAGGTGTTTTCCTGCAAGTGATGTAAATCAGACTTCAAGGAAGAAGTCAGCATTTTCTAATTTTTCAGTTTCCATAAGCCTGTATTGGACAATATATCTCTTTGAACAGAGTTAGAAAGCTTGTAGCAGCTTTGAGACTTTGCGTGATATGAGGGGAGAGAGATGTCTGGGGGTCTCTATTCTCTCTCTGGGGTTGGTGAAACCTGCCAGTTACCCCATAGCACCTTGACACATTTGTCTATAACTTGTTTTGTTGTTACTGCGCTAAAAAGAGAGAGAAAGGACTGCAACACACACGGACCTCTTTAGAGAAAAAAGGTCAACTTTACTGTATGGACAGCCCGTATTTAAAGTCTGTTAAGTGCAGCTAGGACAGGACAGTAGTTCATGGGACAATTGGGAAAAACATCCTTGGGACAGTACCTCAGGATATATCCCACAGGAAAGACACCAGGTGTTAATCTTTATTATGAATTCCACTCTGTTTTTCACCATATTACCACCTTGAGAGACTTCCTCCCTAACTGAAGATGAAGTCAGCTTGTCAGCCTGGGAATGGACCTGAGAGAAATCCAGGCCTGAAAAAGAATTTCCAAGCTGTAATTCCCTAGCTCTCTAAATGTGTGTGTCCACATTGTTTAGGTCAAATTCTGCATTTTTCTTTTCAGATTTCAAAGAGTCACAGATCTGGTGAGACATGTGAAGTTAAAGCTCCCACTATGCTCATTAAGGTCTGCTGCTTTGATCTCAATACAGTTAGTGCTGGAATAAGAATGTGGGCCACTTTATGTCTCTGGTTGGGGCAGATCCCATGGCAAAATGCTGGCCACCCTATATCCTATTTGTCTTTTACTTCAACATTCATTATCAAAGCTGAGTTTTTACTTTTGCTTTTTTTGCAGGTCAAGAACAAGACTAATTTACATAAAGGTGCGTTGAAGTTGTGCTTTGCAGAGCCACTTCAGTGACCTTTACCCAGCTGTAGGGTGGCTTCATAGTGGAGATCTGAAGGGAAATGCTAATGAGGAGGCAGCATCACCCAGGATTCCCTAACTGTGTTAGATTTCTTTGTGGCGAATTACTTATGGAACAGTTTTCATTTATCTAGACCTAAACATTTTTTATATTGGGAAAAGGTTAGATGCGTTTTGAAACTTGAATTTACATTTAACAGAAATATTACTTTTATGAAAGATCAGACATAACTTCAGAAGAAATCATCTGGTCTCAAATAGGTAATGATTCAGGGTGCCCAGTACAGGAGCTACTTCTACAGAGTCTGGAAAGTGTCCTTCTAAGAGAAGATGGTTCTGGGCAAATGCTCTATTTGTCCTTGGTTAACCTAGATATAAATGAAATAATAGAATGATAGAACAGTTTGGGTTGGAGTGGACCTTCAAAGGCCATCTCATCCAACCCCCTGAGATGAGCAGGGACATCTGCATCCAGATCCGGTTGTCACAGCCCAGTCCAACTTTACCTTGAATGTTTTCAGGGATGTTGAGTCTAGTGCTGGCAGACTTGTGTCCGAGCTCTTGTGGGTGTGTCTTGGGGGGACTTTATGAAGCCTGTATCCCCAAATAGTCTGTTCTGATCCAGGATCCTTCCCCTGAATGTCAAGGACACCACCTTCCTTGTATTTCATCTGGTAGACTTCCTCTATACAGTCTGCAGCCTCTCTAGAATGAGATCTGAGATGTCCAGAGGAGCTGATAAGACCCCTGACCCAGGAGTGGGACCAGGCATGAAAAATTCTGAGTGGTGTGGGGAATGAGAGAGAATGGGCCGAACCTTGAAGGAATTTCCTGATCCCCCAGCCTGAGAATTTTCACGTGAACAAATTCAGACGAGGTGGGAAAATATCTGGAAGAGAAGTGCCATGATGATTCTAATGAGAAAAAGCTCATTGCAATAAGCTGGGCCCTGGCATATGCTTATCGCACACTGCTAGATACTGTAGGGCAGCAGATAGAGGTCAGGGGGCAGGGAGATAAATTAGCCGACACTCCAGTTACTTAGGTTGTAGCTAAACCATATGGTGAACCTAAGCCAGCAGCTAAACCTGACAGTGAGCCTAAGCCACTGGCATTTGTAGGAAGGAAGCACATGAGCAAAACTGATTGGCCAGTGGATGATGATGATCCAGGGAAGAGATCCTCAAAGTAGGATCCTGATACAAATTCAGAAGCCAATATTGAGTCCTTATCCCTGAAAGACCTTTGTGGCCTAAGAAAGGATTACACTCGACGACCTGATGAATCTATAATTAGTTGGGTAGTCTGTCTTTGGGATGCTGCAGGTGAGGCTACAATTCTGGATGGTACTGAAATAAAGCATTTGGGATCCCTGTCACATGAACCAGTAATCTACCAAGGAATGATGAGGGGGACTAACCCTCAGAGTCTCTGGGCATGGGTCCTGGGAAGTGTGGCACAAAGATATCTGTGTGCAGAGGATCTCTATATGCAGCAAACTCAGTGGAAGATCACAGAACAAGGGATTCAACACTTGAGTGAAATGGTAGTGACAGAGATTGTCTTTTCAGATGACCTAACAACTAAGGACCCAGACTTGGTACCATGTACATTGGTGATGTGGCAAAAGCTTGTACGACTTGGGCCACAAGAATATGCTTCTGCTTTAGCAATAATGAAGCGGGATGACAGGGAGGAGACCGTGCTTGATATGGCAAAGAAGCTCCGAGCATATGCAGATGCTGTGCGTGGCCCAACACATGCCAGGATAGCAGCTGTGGAAATTAGAAGATAAGACAGAGGAGAATCACAAGAAATTCAGGGAGGAGATGAAAGAGGGATTTCTCCAAATCTTGGCTGTACAGATCAAAAGTTCTGGCCCCAAACGTAGACGTTCCCTAGCTGGGGAGAGAAGACACCATCCCATGAGCTGAGCTGTGGTTTTTCCTGTGTGATTCTGGAGAAAACGTGAAGAAGTAGGATGGAAAATCTACTGTTGCTCTGGTAAAATGGGTGCTTGAATTGCAGGACAGAGAAACGCAGAGAGGAATTTCCACCAAAAAGAAAGCAGCTCCAGTAGCCTGTACCCAAACTGCCAGGTATGATGATGATGACATGTCTGATCCCCTTGAAGGAACCTCCAAGATTGTGCTGGGGGAAAAAAGAATAACCAGGCTTAGAGAGGCCCTGCCTCTAGCCAGGTAGAGGCTGGGGAAAAATGTGTTTTTTGGACTGTGTGGATTCATTGGCCTGGCACATCCAAACCACAAGAATATGAGACAGTGGTTCAGAGTGCATACTAATCCCATCAAGACATGTGAGGACAGAATCTGTTTCTACTGCTGGTGTGACAGGGCAATCATAAGATTTTACTTTGGTGAAAGCTGAGGTGAGTCTGACTGGAAGTGAGTGGAAGAAACACCTTATTGCTACAGGCCCAGAGGCCCCATACATTTTGGGCATAGACTGCTTCCGAAATGGGTATTTCAAAGATCCAAAGGGACTCAGGTGGGCTTTTGGAATAGCTGCTGTAGAGGCAGAGGGCATTAAGAGATTGTACACCTTTCCTGGACTGTCAGAGTACCCACCAGTAGTCGGACTCCTGAAGGTGGAAGAGCAACAGGTGTCAATTGCCACCTCGACAGTGCACCGCCAGCAGTACCGGAAGAATCAAGATGGCGTGATCCCTGTCCACAAGATGATCTGTGCACTGGAGAGCCAAGGGGTGGTCAGCAAAACCCACTCACCCTTCAACAGTTCCATCTAACCTTTGTGCAAGTCTGACGGAGAATGGAGATTGACTGTGGACTATCGGGCCTTGAATGAAGTGACTCCACTGCTGACCACTGCCGTGCTGGACGTGCTGGAACTCCAGTACGAACTGGACTCCAAGGCAGAAAAGTGGTATGCCACCATTGACATTGTCGATGCATTTTTCTCCATTTCTCTGGAAGCAGAGTGCAGGCCTCAGTTTCCTTTCACCTGGAGGGACATGCAGTGCACCTGAAACCGACTGCCCCAGGGGTAGAAACACAGCCCTACCATCTTCCATGGACTGATCCAGGCTGCACTGGAAAAAGATGAGGCTCCAGAACATTTGCTGTACATTGATGATAACATTGTGTGGGGGAACACGGCAATGGAGGTATTTCAGAAAGGAGAAAAGATCATTGAGATTCTACTGGGAACTGGCTTCGCCATTAAAAAGAGCAAAGTCAAAGGGCCTGCCCAAGAGATCCAGTTCCTAGGAGTAAAGTGGCAAGATGGATGGTGTCAGATCCCCACTGAGGTCATCAATAAGATCACTGCAATGTCTCCACCAACCAGCAAGTAGGAAACACCAGCTTTCCTATGTGCCATAGGCTTTTGGAGAATGCACATTCCTGAGTACAGCCAGATTGTGAGCCCTCTCTACCTGGTAACCCACAAGAACATTTTCACTGAGGACCTGAAGAGCAACAAGCTTTCACGCAGATCAAGCAAGAAATCACTCATGCGATAGCCCTTGGCCCAGTCAGGACAGGACCAGAGGTGAAGAATGTGCTGTACTCTACCACTGGGAGCCATTGTCTGTCCTAGAGCCTTTGACAGAAGATGCCTGGTGAGACTCGAGGTCAGCTATTGGGATCTTGCAGTTGAAGTTAAAGAGGGTCCAAAGCCAACTACACTCCCACAGAGAAGGAAATCTTGGCCACCTATGAAGGAGTTCAAGCTGCCTCACAGGTGACTGGCACAGAAGCACAACTCCTCTTGGCACCCTGACTACCAGTGCTGGGGTGGATATTCAAAGCAAAGGTTCGCTCTACCCACCACACCACCAATGCCACATGGAGTAAATGGATTGCCCTTATCACACAGTGCGTCCATATTGGAAAACTGAATCGCCTTGGGATTTTGGAAATAATTACAAATTGGCCTGAAGGTGAAAACTTTGGTCTCACTGATGAAGAGGAACAAGAAAAAGTGGCATGTGCTGAAGAAGCCCCACCATACAACCAACTACCAGCAGATGAAACACACTACGCTGTTTTCACTGATGGTTCCTGTTGCATTGTGGGGATGAACTGGAAATGGAAAGCAGCTGTATGGAGCCCCACACAACAGGTTGCACAAGCTACTGAAGGAGAAGTGGATCAAGTCAACTTGCTGAACTCAAAGCTGTTCAGCTGGCCCATAGCTGACATTGCTGAAAGAGAGAAGTGGCCAAAGCTCTACCTTTACACTGATTCATGGATGGTAGCCAATGCTCTGTGGGGATGGCTGAAAAGGTGGAAAAAGGCTAAAGTGGCAATGTAGGGGAAAACCAATTTGGGTTGCTGATGAGTAGAAAGACATTGCCACTCGGGTAGAGAAGCAACCTGTAAGAGTCTGTCATGTACGTGCCCATGTCCCCAAAAGTAGAGCTAATGAGGAGGACCCAAACAATAAGCAGGTAGATCAGGCTGCACAGATAGAGGTATCAAAGATAGACTTTGATTGGCAACACAAGGAGAGCTGTTCCTAGCTCAGTGGGCCCATGATGCCTCAAGTCATCAAGGCAGAGATGCCACCTATAAGTGGGCATGAGAACGAGGGGTGGATTTAACCATGGACAGTATTTCTCAGGTTGTCCATGACTGTGAGACGTGTGCTGCCATCAAAGCAAGCCAAGCGGGTGAAGCCCCTCTGGTATGGTGGACAGTGGTCCAAATACAAGTATGGGGAGGCCTACTTGATGTGACTACATCACACTGCCTCAAACCCACCAAGGTAAACACTACATGCTCAGCATAGTGGAAGACACCACTGGATGGTTGGAAACTTACCCTGTGCCTCATGCCCCTGTCCGGAACACCATCCTGGGCCTGGAAAAGCAAGTTCTTTGGAGGCTTGATACCCCTGAGAGTATTGAGTCAGTCAACAGGACTCATTTCAAGAACGGCCTTATCAACACCTGGGCTAGGGAACATGGCATTGAGTGGGTGTACCGTATGCCCTACCATGCACAAGCTGCAGGCAAAGTGGAGAGGTACATAGACTGTTAAAAACCACCTTGAGAGCATTGGGTGGAGGATCTTTCAAGAATTAGGGGCAGCATCCAGCAAAGGTGTTGGGGGTTGAATTGTTCCCTTTTCTTTCTGTGGAATTTCTCCCATTGTTATGCTAAGTATTTGTGGCTACACCTTAGAAACTATAATGTTCTCTTGCAGGGGGGTGGGTGGATGGGGGGGAGACTGGAAAAGGAAAGTGGGGAGAGGGGTCTGGAGCGGGCTCTCTCGCTCTCGCTTAGATCATGGAGTGGAAGGAGGACAGCCCATGCTTCAAGCTAGCATCTCCCCTGCCATCCCAGTGTCGAGATCCACACTCCCTGCCATTGGACATCACTCTGCTGCTCTCCCACCTCATCCTACTACCTCTGGACACTCTGCCGAGCACCACGACCGACACCGTGAGGGGGGAGTCGCTCCTCCATCCCTCTCACCCCTGGACCGCTGCTGCCATCACTCAGCCCTCTTCAACTGCGCGGGACCTGCCCTGCCCACAGCACCGGTAACTGAGTGCAGGGAAAGAGGGCCTTGGCCAAAAGGGACTGGAACTGAGCTATATTGTTCTGTTTTGTTGCCAATTTTTATAGCTGTTGTTGTTTTCTGCTATTTTGCCTTGTTAGATATCAGTAAAGAACTGTTATTCCTATCCCCATATCTCCTGCCTGACAGCCTCTGATTTGAAACTAAAATAATTAAAAGGGAGGGGGTTGCACTCTGCATCTCAGGAAAGGGGTTCTCGCCTTTCCTTAGAAAATACCTGTCTTTCAAACCAAGACAACTCCTAATTCTATTTCACAACAGAAAAATAAATATATTTAAATTAGTAAATCAAAACTAAAACATTATTTAGTGCATTAGCCAAAAAATTCAAATTAAACCAAGAGACCAGGCAAGGTTGGGATCTTGAAACAGCAGGAAGAAGACACACAACTGCTAGTTTTCATGACTTCCTTCTCCTTTAGCTTTGGGGAAAGGAGTTGGAGAAGATAACAGAAACAAGCCATTTTAACAGAAACAAGAAAGTTAAGGAGATAGAAGATAAATGTGCCTCAGTTTTGTCACATATCTAGTGTTTGCTAGGACAATTTATTATCATCTTTTGTCTTAAACATATGCTGATACCACATAAACAAGCTTATTCTTCTGTGGGTATGGCAACCACAAATTTTACTGAAATTCAAAGCTTATTATTGCAATGTGCAAAATAATTAAAATAACTTGTAGTGCTTGAATGCTGTGGTTTCCCTCTAGCATAGATAGGCTTCACAGAGTGTACAGATTAATAGCCATATGCACTACGTAGGAATAAATATGTTCTGGATTATGTTAAACAGGCCAAG